CCTGCAATTGATGCATGAATGTGCAAACTAGGCTTCTAGAAGTATAAGGGAGAAGATTGCTAACGAGAAAAGAGATTTTGGTGAGTCAACTAGAATACGTATTGAAAAACAAACAAAAAACAGCATTATCAAAGTCTTGAACTGGATCACCTTTTTAAATCCAAGCTAAAATTACAAAATGTGCAAAAAAAAACAACATGCTAAAATAGGTGACAGATCAGCCTTAAACAAAACAATGCTTTCAGAATTATATAGCCTTCCTTTATACACTTGGTTGCAAAAAGCCAACACAGAATTTGTTTAGAGAGAGCTTGAAAAATATTGAGTGAAACTTAATTTCAAATGTTAGGTCATGTACAAGAAAATATTTTTACCCTGTTTTAATGAAACTAAAAAGGGGTTAAGTTCAGAACAGGAGTGAGGAATGTGGCACTGCTCCTACATGTAAAACCTCCTGACAGCACTCTGGAATTTGCAATTTCTAAACTGGCGATTTAACCACTAATTTCCCAAAGGGGTAAGAGGTAATGTTTTTCACCATAGGTAGAGTAAAAACATCTTAAAGGCAATGGCCCAAATGTAGCCCAAGCTGATTTTGAACTGCAACTCCCATGGTGCTTTGCAATTACAGGAAATGTAGTTCTACAAACCAGTTGATGGGATTTGTTTTGACCAACTCTGATTTTTTTGATTTTTTTTAAATGCATTTATTTTTATTTACATGTTGAATGTGAGATAGATCGCTAGATGGCTAATGGACAACTAAAGAGAGTAGAAAAAAAAAAAAAAACATTGTATAATTTTTTATATTCAAACACAGAATTAAAATTACAGGCCTCAAAATCAATATTGAAGATGTCAAATCTAGGAATGTAACAAATCCCATAATAAGAGTGCATGAAACATTGTTCTCTGGGGGAGGTACCAATTTGAGGACATATTGACTGCAGGCTTTTCTCAAGCAATACAGCTACCTCCAGGGCATAAGTGAATCCCTTGGTGCAATTTATCTCACCAAGCCAGTATAGCTGGATTATTAACCATGAATATGACATGCCAATACATCACATTAGACAGCGGGGAAAAACCCCCCAAAAAACCAGCAATTACAATAATATAAAGAATATAAATTTCCTATAATATAATCCAGGTGTCTAGTGCACTCCAGACAGAGCAATGGAATGTTGCCATGCTATGTGATAAGACACCTGCATTAGTATAATTTACAGTGGGTGGAATCTTAGACCACAAATCCTATTCATGCATTCACAGATGTGGTTATGAAAAACCATGAGTTGTGTGTGTGTGTATATATATATATATATATATATATATATATATATATATATACACACACACACACACACACACACAAAGAAAACTGCACAGATGTTCATCTCTAGCATTACTCGGCCATTAAGAACTGTTTTTAAACACATATTTCAATGGTCATTTGTAATATATAAAACTGGAAGACAAATACTTTTACGGAAGCATGTAATATAAATTGAATCATTAAGGCCACACCACAGGGGGCTAATCAGCATTATTCATCGTGCAGTCTGCCACCCCAGGCACATGTGTGCTGTCATTACTGCAGCAACAGCAGCTCCACAGTGTTGAGCTATGGCATAATAGATTGCAAAATGGTGTTATTACTGTGTGAGCAGAAAGAACAAGGGATGTTTCCATTTTGTTCACAGTCCCTAATCTAGGAATGAACATGAAGCACCGCAGATCTTCCTCTTAGAACCTAACAGCACCCCACCCAATGCTAATACTAATAATAATGATTAATTTCAACTACTACGTGACGGATTTATTTGCAAATTGTGATCAACGTTCTCTCGCCATATAAATGCGTTCTATACCTGTAGGAATGGACCACGCCATCTGTTTAGGGTGGAAATAAAATATGAGCAGCACACACCCTATACAGCTATTGCCATAATAGGGGGTGCAGTGTGGGGGTGGTAGGTAGGCATTGCCATAGCTTGAGATCTCGGCTATGTATTTAGGAGGAAGTGGAGCCTGCGCAAGGTTTGTGCTGTCTGACTCCCACCCTCTCTCTCTTACCCAACCACCCCCTCCCCCCAAAATACTGCAATGTAACACAGACCCACAGATCATTATGGACTGCAAAACGCAGCACTCACCCCTTACCCAAATACCCATATGTTGCCTGGCAGTCTAAGAAAGAAAGCACCTTTAAATCCTACCCGTACCCCAATCCTATAGAGAGAATACACGGTCCCCCAAAAGCCCCAGTGCCTTACCTTTCACCACCCTGTCCAACGTTGATAACTTGGGATCCACCGCCTTGTTTTCAGACATTTCCAGATGGTGTGTGCACTTCTCGTAGGAAAGAGGCTTTCAATGGATTACAGTCTTTAAATCCCAGTTTGGATCAAAGTTATTCCTTTTTTTTTTTTTTTTCTTTTTATCCTCTTTTTTCAGATCTGAATCATCAGCAATCAAAAAGGGGAGAAAAATGTAGAACCAGAAATACCCCTTTCCCCCAAAAAAACAAAATAGAATTATAAAGCCAAAGATTGTTGCAGCTAGCACTGAAATGCAACAGCCTATCTCTAGACAGAGACACTGCTACACTGTATTCCCTGACTGCCTCTGCTTTTACACACACGCTCCCTCTCACACATACACACACACATACATGCAAAGGCACTAGCACTCTACACCATCAGATATCAACCTATCCTCAGCCCAGTTTGGGTTACAACTCAAAGCCCTCCCCCTGCTCCCTGTCTCACTACACTATTGGTTCAGCAAAGCCATCAATCAGGCGTAGGAACCCTTTCAGGTATTTTCCTTCCCTAAACCTCACTGGTGTTACTATGGCTCTCTCTCCTGTCACTTTGGCTGCAGACTAGAAGTGGAGGAGGAGTGGGAGGAGGGAACCACAGTGCTGGGAACAGCTTGGCAGGGAGATGCCCCACTAATGATTCCTTTGCAGCATTATAGACAACTGGAGCAGGATGACTGAGTATCTGAATGCCAGGATGTAAGCTGGGCATAGATTGGAGGCTCTGCTGAGGCATAGGATTGGCTCAAAGAAATCTGCTCCTCCTTTTAACTGTTATCCAGCCCACTTTGTTTGCTGTCAGATAATATAGTGTGTATGGGAGATGCAGAAAACAAGCATAGTGCTTTGTATATTTGGCTATAGTTTGTTGCAGTATTGACTGCACTGATGGTGATGAATGTGCACTAGTAACGGTGACATTGCTGCAATGGGGTCATTTGGTGGCTTTGCTGCTGCTACCCAAACAAAGTCATTCCTGTCCTCCCATCAGTATAAACTGGATAGATACATTGTAACATAAGCTGCTGGGGGGTCACTGAGGACACCACAGCTTGATCTGCTGGTGGGATTTGTGATGCATAGGGAAACAGTAGCAAGCTACAGATGAGCTGTTTGATTGTGATTACCTTGTTTTTACTGTTTCCCAGTTTAATCTCGTATTATAGGATCTGTACTTTTTACCGGTTGGTTTACCAGGGAATAATGCAAAGAGCTTTTGTCTGTTTTTTTTTTGTCAATATAGAACAGGGTTGTTTATGGTGGTAAATATTTATGCTGCCAATGAAACATATAGTTGCATTAGTGAAGCAGAAATTATTAGTGTGATTATCAGGCAATGACGTGTATGAATTAATGCAGTATGTGTTTCATACACCTTAAAATAATCAGCATCAAAAACATGTTTTTTATGGTAATAAAAACATTACAACAACTATTTTTTTAGTTGTGTTTAGTATGTTCCACCGCACCTTTTTCTTACACTAGCATTTTACTTATAAAAATGTTAACAAAAAAAAACTGTCAGTGTCTTCATAATATCCAAAACATAGTTTGTCCCCAGAAATACTAAAAGGATTGATCTTGACATGCTAAACCTGTCCGTCCTTACCTAATAATGCCCAGTTTGTGACAGAAAGTGGTAGGTATGGCATTCATTTAGGTAATGTTATGACCGTTTGAACTGAGTGACAGTATAATAGAATATTAAATAGTCCATATTCCCACAGTAGAATTTAGAGCATTGGATTACTTCTAATGCAATTATAAAACAATATCAATGCAAAACAAATATTCAGAGCTTCTTATCAAGTGTTGGCAGATCAGCTAAAAAAAATGTTTTATCTTGCAGCATCTAAAGAAAGAATATGACATGGCAAAGAAAAAAACCAGACATGTGCAAAGAAACAAACTGAATTCACAAAATGACTCAAGTTAACCACTGGAGATATGCTTTATCTTCTTTTGCAAAATGCCTTACTTTATAGACGCATTTGAATTGATACGCACATACAATGCCCTAGATTGAGTCAAATGCAGCATTACAAAATCTGTTTCTGATATTTAAAACTATAGTAGGGATGCTCCAAAATTGGCCTTGTAACTACTCAAAGCCATATGAGCCTGTGCATGGGGACAAGGTCGTACTCACAAATTGTGACTTTTCTGCAGAAGCACACATTAAACGGACATTATAGTCACTGGTTGCTAACAGACATTTGGTTGCCTAAATGATGCTGGACGTCCTCACGCTTTGCATTAGGACATCCTGCGTCATCCAAATCTACATAGGGCGCAGTGCTTTCCTATGGGGATTTTATAGATGCTGGATGTCCTCATGCAGAGAGTTAGGATGTCCAGTGTCAGTAAGGTGACCAAACATCCGTTAGCAACCAGGAAGCACCACTAGAGGCAGTCTTAGTACTGCAATGTTAATTATTGCACTTTTTAAAAAACTGCAATAATTACATTGCAAGACTACCATATATACTCAAGTATAAGTCTAGTTTTTCAGCACATTATTTGTGCTGAAAAACCCCCACTCGACTTATACTCGAGTCAGTGTCTGCATTATGGCAACTTACATTGCCATAATACAGACCAGGACCGCTGGGCTCATTACAAGCCCGGCAGTCCTGTTGGGGGCTGGCAGTGAGCTGCTCTGGTCAGCTCCCTTCTCCTCCACTGTAAGTCTCGCGCTCTGACCCCGTGGCTCTCGCGAGACTTACAGTGGAGCTGACCAGACCGGAGGAGAAGGGAGCTGACAGGGGCTGCAGGAAAGGTAAGTAACAGCTCTCTGTTACTTATATAATGCAGAGTGTGTGTTTGTATGAGTGTGTGCGTATATAATGTAGAGTGTGTGTTTGTATGAGTGTGTGTGTATAATGCAGTTTGTTTGTATGAGTGTGTGTGTGTATAATGCAGAATTTGTGTATGAGTGTGTGTGTATAATGCAGAGTGTGTGTATGAGTGTGTGTGTGTGTATAATGCAGAGTGTGTGTATATGAGTGTGTGTGTGTGTGTGTGTGTGTATAATGCAGAGTATGTGTTTGTATGAGTGTGTGTGTTTGTATGAGTGTGTGTGTGTATATAATTATAAAAATCACAGACTTTCATAGCCCCAAGTTTTACCCTCGACTTATTCATGAGGCATAGCATATTTCCCAATTGTTGGTCACAAAACTGCACTCGACTTATACATGAGATCGACTTATACATGAGTATATACGGTAAGTGGTACTGGGACACTGCACCCAGACCACTTCAATGAAGTGAAGTGGTCTGGGTCACTATAGTGTTCTTTTAATATGTGCTTCTGCACTAAAGTCACAATGTGGGTGCCCAATATATATTCACTATTTTGGTGTTTTGATATACCTTATGTGAGTTTTCTTAGATTCTTGGACTTTACAAACTGCACACAATTACTTGCTATAATGTCCCAAATGTAACATAAGAAAATTGAGACATTATACTTGAAAAAGACAACAAAAAATCACATAACCTTAGTCACACAGCACCATTAGAAGCACTAGTTAAGTTGGGGTTAAAATTAGGGTTACCCCTATAGGTTACTAACATGTAGTTTATTGTATTGTATTGCCAACACATTAATATTTAACAAAGCCTTTCTAGAAAAGTGGTCATCAACAGATTCCCAGTCTGCTTTTAGTAGCTGTGCGAATATTGATTCATTTTCTTGCTAGGATGTCACTCATTGCTGTTTCCCAAGCACATAATTCACAGCATGCCTTCATTTTATTCTGGTCATATCCTCCCTATCCTTCCTGTTTGCCCTTTATAGTTCTTTGATTTTTAACTATTTTCTTTCTTAAATGTTTCCTTTCACGTCTTTGCAAATGTTCTGTGCTATCTTTTTTTTAGGTTTTCGTCAATCATTCACATGTGAAAATATCTCTCTGCTGCATAGAATATACTTGGTTTGGCGTGACATTTTAGGCTGTTACATAATTGTGTGTTGCTGTAATAACAGAATGATAGATGTACTAACATCTGTTCCTATCATTCTAAAACACCTTACATTATAATCCTTTACATTATTATATATTTACAGTGAAGTCACACATAACTATGCATTTATTGACATACCAGAGAAGTAGCATGATAGCCCTTACCTTTTATCACCCAACATCCAGCTCTCTTTGATAAATCCCTGTCACGACACAAGAAGAAACCTACAGTAACACACAAACACACAGAACTGTCAGGGATTCAAAGTAAATTTAACATTTAAAGGCCAGATTATCCAAACTGAAAGCATAGATGACTTGGTAAATGTTTCAAGTTCAGCTACTTTAGTCTTAAAGGGTTACTCCAACCATCATTACCGCTACAGTCTGCTGTAGTGGTTATGATGGCAGGAATACCCTGGTGCTGTTGCCTTTTAATGGATCAAACTGTTTTGCAAGTTTGCCCTCTTTCCTGGGTGCCAGACTTCTGTCATATTTACCTAACCCGTCAGAAATCCCTACCCATGTCACGTACGGTGACACGGATCAGGTGTTGCCTGTGCTGCATATGCTTCCCAGCACTGCCGATGGGTAGGGTAATCTGTTGCAGGCTGGGAGAATGTGCGAGACCACCGCGTCATTCCCCATGACGAGGTCCTAGAATGTAAGTTGAGCTAGTTTCATAGTTACTTTATAGTTAGGGCAGGGCCGGATTAACATAGGGGCTGATGGAGCTGCAGCTCCAGGCCCAGGCCCAGGCCCATGGAATAGGCCCATTTTTTTTTTTTTACACACTACTCTTAGGTTTACCACCTGACTGGTATTTTAATGACACAGACTGTATTTGAGGCTGCCTGGCCATGCCGGTATTGCAGTAATACCAGCAATACAAATGCAGGTAATTTTCTCAGAATAAATGGAAATTACTCTGCAATACCAGCACCGGCCAGTAGGGGTCACTGTGTATGGAGAGAGGCAGGGATAGGAAGTTACAGAATATCCCTCCCTGCCTCTCTCTACTCACTGATCCGTGGGGGAGCAGCTACACAACACAGAGAGTCCAGACAGGAGCTCTACAGCTCAGGTAAGTGAGGGATGGGGGGGGGAGAAAGGCAGCAGGGACACATGGGGACACTGAGACACTAGGGGACACAGACACTGGGGGACACTAGGGGACACATGGGGACACTGAGACACTAGGGGACACATGATGACACATACGCTAGGGGACACAGACACTAGGGGACACATGATGACACATATGCTAGGGGACACTGAGACACTAGGACAAAGACACTGGGAGACATGGGAACACTGAGACACTTGGGGACACTGAGACACTTGGGGACATATGGTGACACAGACACTAGGGGACACAGACACTAGGGGACACATGGGGACACTGTCACTAGGGGACACTGAGACACTAGGACACATGGGGACACAGACACTGGGAGACCTGGGGACACTGAGACACTTGGGGACACTGGAAAACATGGGGACACTGAGACACTAGGGGACACTGGGACACATGGGAATGCTGAGACACATGGGGACGCTGTGAGACATAGGGACATTGGGAGACATTGGGACATGGAGACACTATGTCCCCCAGCCAGTGTCCCTAGTGTCTTAGTGTCCCCAAGTCTTCCAGTGTGTGTTTCCCATGTCTCTCAGTGTGCCTGGTGTCCCCATGTCTCCCAGTGTCCCTATATGTCCCAGTGTCCACATGTCTATGTCCACAACTGTCCCCATGTCTCCCAGTGTCCCCAAGTGTCTGTCTCCCAGCCAGTGTCCCCTAGTCTCCCAGTGTCCCCTAATCTCCCAGTGTCTGTGTTCCCATGTCTGTGTCCCTAGTGTCTTAGTGTCCCCAAATGTTTCAGTGTCCCCATGTCTCCCAGTGTCTGTGTCCCTAGTGTCTCAGTGTCCCCAATTCTCCCAGTTTCCCTAAATGTCTGTGTCCCCATGTCTCCCAGTGTCCCCGGGTCTCTCAGTGTCACCAGTATCCTAGTGACATGGGGACACACTGAGACATTGGGACACTGGGAGAAATGGGGACACAGACACTGGGAGACTAGGGGACTGGGCGACATGGGGACACTGACACTGTGATACATAGGGACACTGAGACACTGGGTGACTTGCGAGACTCAGACACTGGGAGACAGGGAGACACTGGGAGCAATCCATCTCTACAGCAGAATCAAACTGTGAGTAGTTTGGTGATTTTACAGAATTTTCTCTGATGTCACTCCTTGTGATTTACATCATGTGATGTCACGCATAGCTAATTAATTATACAAATGATTAAGGCTGGTATTTTTTTCCAAGAAAGGTGGCAACCTTAACTACTCTTCACATACTCTTACTTAAAGGAGCACTATAGGGTCAGGAACACAATCAGGTATTTCTGACCCTATTATGTTAAAACCACCACCCTGGCCCCTTCTTGCCTCCCTAAATATAGTAAAATATTACTTGTATTCAATTCTGCAGCTGCTGGCTCAGAAGTGGTGGTCTGAGCAAATTACAATACTTCCCCATAGGATTGGCTGAGACTGTCAACTAGGCAGATCAGGGGCAGAGCCAGCACAAGTCCAACATAGCCCTGGCCAATCAGCATCTCCTCATAAAGATAAATTGAATCAATGCATCTCTATGAGGAAAGTTCAGTATCTGCATGCAGAGGGTAGAGACACTGAATGGCAGTGCTGCACACTAGGCAGTACTGCCCCAGGAAGCACATCTAGCAGCCATCTAAGGAGCAGCCAGTGGAGTTATTTTCTCTAAAAAGACAGTGTTTACTGCAAAAAGCCTGAATGGAATGATTCTACTTACCAGAACAAATACAATAAGCTGTAGTTGTTCTGGTGACTATAGTGTCCCTTTAAGTTTGGAAGCTTAAGAGGGATGTATGGGAACAAAACTTGTGTGCACTTGCTGACATTAAAGTTAGTTTAGGTAATGCAGACGTTGGTCTCTCTAACACTGTGGCATGTCCCCTTTCTTCTACACTCACTACAGACACCTTTTCTCTGTCTCAGACTATATACCAGGAACTTCTGCCTGTTAGTAAGAAGGTAAGGAGACAAGTGGACCAGCAAGTTCTAGGGGACAGTCCTTAGAAAGAATGGAGTGAGCACATCATTAGACGCATTTATGTCAAGCTCAAGGTGCTGCCTGCATAGTATGCACTTAGTTGGACAGCCTGCAGGATTGGCAGGCAGCCTGGCATGCATTCATGCCAGGCTGACCTTCCAATTCTTTGGACAAACATGCCCCTTTTTGGGCATGTTCACCCCTTCTGGCAGGTCTTGTCACGTGATTCGCGCCAGTGGCACACCCTTTTACTCCGCCCATTGACTTCCTGCTTCACTGGACACTGCTGTTAGGGGTTATGGATTTACTTGAAAGATGAAAGCATAAATTAGAGAGAAATTAGCATAGAGTATGTGTTTTCTTATAGCTGCATCCTATGAGTTTTCCTCCAGCACCATCTCCATCAGATACATGACGCTTGGGAGGTATGATTGTTTTAGTGTTTTTGGTCGATAAGATTCAGTAATTAGGCCCATCATAATTGTCAGCACCAGGCCCACTGTGCTCTTAATCCGGCCCTGAGTTAGGGCATTCAGTAAAGCACATTTAGGGTTAGTTGAGGGTTAAAATTAGGGTTAGGTAATTTTATTTAACCTCTTTCACTACTTACCTTAACCATAGGGGTAAGGCTAAAATTAACCCTATACATAATTTTAAATGTACTGTTTATTTCCTAGGTGACACTGACCTCTAAATAAAAAGTTACCCACCTAAATCTAACCCTAACATTAACCCTAAATGTCCAATGTGCCTGAGGTTTACTGAGTGCCCTAACTATAATGTCCATGTGAAACTAGCTTGCATAGCTTCCATGACCTTGCTGAGGAGGTGTTACCATTCCAGCTCATGACTCATCATCGGTAATGACACGGTGGTCTCA